GCTTTTCTATTTCGGTTGCGGCGATGTTGTCCGGGCGGCCGAATCTGTGCTCCAATTGCTTCATAATGTCGCCCGGCGTAGTGTTGCTTATTAGCATGCTGCCCACGGCTTCTCTTGCCTTCCCCTTGAGGGCTCTTCTTAATCTCGATGAGTTTTCCGCCGACGATAGGTAGGTTGCGGATTCTAGGTACGCCGCCCTGAAGGTGAGCCATTCTGTGTGCGCGCCGCTGAAGGGTGGCAGCTCTCCGACGTAGCGTGGACCCGGTGCAGGCGGTACGGCGGCACGGACGGCGGCGTTGATTGCGACGGCCAGCTCGGAGACGTTCATTCTGTCTTGCTGGACCGGCGGTGGCGGTGGCGGCAACGTAGGGGCGACTTGTTCTTGAGCTTCATCAATACGGGACGGCGGACTCTTCTTGATGCATGGCTTCAGCGCCCCTGGGACTGGATCTTCGGCAAGTGGTGCGACGGACCCACCAATCTGTACGGTGTCCTCGACGGTCGGTCTTCTATACGGTTCGGTGGTGCCGCCGTCGGGGGTGGTGTCCTTTGTCGCTGTGTCCAGCCAGGTGATGACGCGTTCTTCATTCTCGGTGCCATGTGTGCTATCGGTTTCTCTTCTATCTTCTATTTGCGGGTCCTCTTGGTCCTCATCTTCGCTATCTTGCTCTTCCATTCGTATCTTCGCCCTTATGGTCTTCTCTAATTCTTCATATAACGCCGCCAGGCGCTTCTTCTTTGCTGCTCTTCGTGCAGCTATCTTCGATTCTGTTCGGTGTGATGTCATTGCAGCTGATGGCGACTTCGGCGGTTGGTCGTGACGCAGCGGGTACGGTGGCCGCGTCACGGTGTCGCTCCCTTCCGATGGCGCTCTTGACGGGGGTTGGACAGGATTCTCTCCCGCGGCGGTTCGCTCTGGCTCTTCGATGCTTCTCTCGATGCGCTCCTCTTCGGCCTGGTCCATTTTGTCAGCTTGAGATCTTGTTCGTGGCATTTTTCTTTCTTCAATCTTCTATAATTTTTCTTCAATTTTCTGTCTTCAATCTTCTATAATTGACCACGACGATCTTCTTTCTTCAATCTTCTATAATTTTTCTTCAATTCTTCCTCGGCGCTGTAGATCCGGCTCGATGCGACCAAAAAATGTACGGGACGCCGGGCTGTCGCAGTAGCGGACAGTTACCGACTCGTACTGAGGGGGTGGAGGAAGTTACACGCAGGAGTCTTGACTGTAGTGGACTGTAGTTTCGGCGAATAAAACCCCTGGTGTTCGGTATTGAAGAAATCGGTGGGCGCTGATAATGGATGGCCGGTGAGAGGAGGCTTCAGGTCCAGAGTGAACCGCTTGATTGTTTCTTCCTGTTCCTTAGGGTAGGAGCGCCTGTCGCTGAATGCATGTCGGGGCATGTTCCGACTCGATTTTTATATGCTAGGACTGAGCTGGCCAGCGATCCATTACCTCACCCACGCTATACTTTATTTTTCATTTTCTCAAAATTTACAATAGTGCGAGCTTAAAACTAATTGTACATACATCGGGCATACATTTAGGCATATTTTTAACACAGTTACGTGTCCGTAAACACGATATTTTAGGTGTGGCGCGCAAAAAATAGGTCTCCGCGATATTTATACTTTCCCCCTCCATAGGGCTTCGCCCTGCCACGGGGCTTCGCTGCCCCACCCGCGCGCTCCGGGCGCGCCGGGTGGGGAGCGCGACATGTCTCAGAAAACGTTTCTATACAAACATGTTTTGTCTTTTATACGGTACATTTTTACACTTATCGATGTGATACCTATTTATTTACGTAGCCCTACGTGTTACCTATATGATGCAACAAGTTTCTTACAAGAATATTAATAAACAACAGCTCTACGGCCCTGTAAAATTTGTAAATTAAAAAGTCTTAAAAAACCTACTTATACTCACTTAATGTCTAACTATCATATACCGTTCTATAGAAAAAGTAAAAACACATAAAATGACATCATTATTATAACAATTATACCTATATCCTATTGATTATTCATAAAAAACTATTCCCAATATTTTCCTTAATTACGCTTAAACTACTAACACGATTCGTATAAAACTTCGATATATTATTCCTATAACTACCTACTATCTAATAAGACATAAAATAAATCATTCAAAACATAAAACATACTATTATCGAAAATTGTCAACTCAGGCAAAATCCTATAAGACGTGAGACAAGGACAACCTATTGTCTCCGTCCCTCCTATAGGTCGGAACTATCAGTATTCTGACTAGTTTCCCCGCGCCACCGCTTGGCGTCGTGGCGATCGTTTAGATAAAGTCTTATAAGATTATTGGAGAGAACGGGGCGGAATATCGCTCTGAACTATCAGTTTTACAATGGTTTACTATGGGCAGAGCTATCTATTGTTGCGATATCCGACTCATTCTAATAAGACAACAAGGGAATGATATCTTTAATGCGTATACAACCGATTCATGTGAAATTATAGATACATTTTTATACATTGCTCTCGTATTGTTGTAAGTTCATTTTCTTTCGCTTCGGTCGTCGCGTACAAAAGGAATTTGAATACGCCCGGTGTTCTTTAATAGTTTAAAACTTATTCACTGTCTGTAAATACCCTATGTTTGGTTATAAAATTATTCTTATTTTCATTTCTGCCTACACATTTATAATATCAATGGGTTGGTAGAAGGCAAATTACAACATAGCGAAAATTTAATTTGTTTATTCTTCTTCATAGCGAAACTGCATTAACAGACCAAATACTCGTATATCATCGTGTTCATTATTTTTATAGCAAGTGGCACTTAACAGAGAATTCTTCGCCTCTTTGTTTTTCTTTAGGACTAAAATAACTTGTTTGTTATTCTACGTTCCTTTAAAATCACTGCGATAGTGCTTTGATTTTTTATTAACATTTTTATAGATCAAAAATGATAATAAACAAATATCAGTAGCTATGCATCAATAAAGGTACTTGTTAGGAAGATCACAAGATATATTTTTTGTAGCGAATAAATTAGGTACATCGTAGCCCGGTCGTTATAATTCACCAGAACATGAAATTCCTAAATGTAAGGATATAAGGAAATAAATGAGATTAGGATTTATAAAATATGTAATTTTAAGGATATTTAGAGCTGCAAAAGTGGCGAAGAAATAAGGCAGATTTCTGACCATTATTAATTTCAAGTCAAGCGAGTGTGTGAGATGGCATAATCATGAATTAATAGTTTTTCATGATAAGTATGTCAAGGAGTTTATTATCTGGCTAATTATACGATCTGGCGATAACGTTTTAACGTTGTATCATATCAGGAAAATATACCTAGATCAGTATTTGTAAAACTTATAGCAGGCACAAACCACTTTCAGAATTTAAAAATCTCGGACCACTGTCAAGGAATAATTTGAGAAATTTAATGAGCCATTTAGTGTGATACATTAAGTTAAGTTAAGCATTGACTGATCTACTGCGAACCCCAGACAAATCGCACATTGATAAAAAGAGTGACACTATCAAAAAAAACTATTTTTTCAGTAGAAGCATTTAAAGTTTTACCAAACGGTAATTACGAATTTTGCACCAGAAAGAATAAAAAATCAATTCAAATTATGATTTCTATTGCAGAGAGTATTAAACACGATTGCAAAATCGTAATTACTGTTTGATAAAACTTTAAATGCTTCTACTGAAAAATAGCTTTTTTGGTTAGTGTCACTCTTCTTATCAATGTGCGAAATATGCTACGGAAGAAGGGGTTTATGGAGCCCTTACTAAAGAATGCCTGACCTATATGATATGATTTCAACCCCTCGTTTGAAAAAACTATGAAACGATTTTTCTGCGATTGTGAAGTTAAGTCTATTGTATTGACCAGCCATGGGATGGGTACCAAACATTCATTATCATAACCTCATTAATGTACGTTGAGCTTTTGGTTTCGTCTGCATTTGCAGTCGTTTATAGCACACACCAATCCGTAATGGGCGCGTGATGGGGAAATCAATAATCCGATAATAATTGCATTCAAAAAAAGGTAAAAAAAAAGATTAGGATTAGATGATATTAAAACATACGTAACAAATTATTATTTTTATTAATGAGAAGCAACTGTATATAAATATACCAACACACAAATGAAATGTAAAGGTACCTTTATTGCTATTTTTTATAGATTTTTCTGATATAAAAAGTTACCTATTCGGAGCAGGTTATGGGAAATAATCGGTAGAAGTAAATAGCCTGCAATGCCGCAACGTTATATAATCTAGGTCAGAAAATCTGGACTAAGCAAGCACCAGGACGAAAAATGGGGAAACACGACCACGACAAAGATCCAACTTTTATATTTTTTATAAAATAAACTAAAGTAAAGATCTTGTATTAGTTAATGAAATCTTCATTAACAATAAAATAAACTTAGAATCTCCAATGAATTTCTTTTTCACTCGCCTAATATTAAATTTATTATGATGACACTTAAAAAAAAAGTTACTCTATTCTGTGGTCATTAGGGTAAACTTACCAAATTTGCGCTTCTAAACCCATTTGTTGACATAATTACACTGCATAATATCAGACAGGCACGCCAAAACCTTTTCAGTTTTCACCCTAGCTCAAAAGCTTTAATAAATAATGAGGAAAAACTTTGGTATTAATGTAGTATAATTAGCACCCCTGATACTAATTATCTCACTCACGACATTCTCTTATTAGCTGTTGTTATCATTCTTCGACGCAAACAATTAATATTTACTATGATATCCTTGTAATATGGTGATTATTATGATGTACGTCTTTATGAATTATGATATACATTATTTTTAGTAAAAAAAGCGGTCTATACGTTTAGGAGCTATGATGACACAGACAGACATACACAGACACAAAGACACGTCAAACTTATAACACCCCTCGTTTTCCGTCGGGGGTTAAAAAGGTTACGTTGTTCCTATAACGTTTATGCTGTTTACGAAAAAAAATGTTACATAAGTAAGCCTGTTCTTGCTCTCTTCTTGATTTTTCATTTAACACAATTAGCACTAGGTAGGTACCATCGGACTTTTGTTATCAATGGTCACTCAGATCCAAGAACGAAGTAAGATAAACTCTTTAAATTGCACTTTCTAAGCAAGCATTTCTATAACCTATCTAAGAAAATGTAATCTAGCGAAACTAATAAAAAAGAAAATTTACATCTACATTTAACCAATAAACCTGATAAAGTAGAGATAATTTTATAAAATACAAGTGGTAAATAAAAAATGGTATTGTTATACCAGTATCTTATACTGGTAATGCAGTTGCGAAGTTGCGATCGCGAATCGTACAGAAAGCGCGATGAACGCACATCCTCGCTTCGAGGCGGTTCGCGAATAACTGAAAACAGTTTCAGACAGTTTGCAGTACGGAGCTTCGGGAGTGCTTTTAGCTTGCTTTTAGCACTTAAAGCGCGTTCAACGATATCCGTGTAGCACGTATTACGAACGTGTACATTTAACTACCCAATTTATTTCACTTTATTTCTTCCTCTTCTACGTTTTCAGGTTGAGAATTTCTTCTTTTATTATATTTATGAAACAAATACTTTCCCAAATACGAGTACTTACATTACTCAATTCTAAAGATGTAGTCTAAAATTAACAAAACAAACGGGCATTGTTTATGCTCAGGTGTAGCTATGTATGGCTACACTTGACGCTGGTATGGGTAAATTGAGGGATTCATGTCTAATCCTTAAAATCTTATGTTAGTTTCATTGTCTTTGAGATATACATATGTGATCTTAAATAAACTAACTTAGACGACCTTCGTGGCCGATTGGTATGTCGCCTGGTTTCATGGTATCGCCTGCTCGAGAGGTCCTGGGTTCGAATCCCGGTGGGGGCAGGTTTGTGTAATAAATACGAGCATTTGTACTCCAGTCATGGATGTTTTATATGTATTTCTATAAAAATATATACTTATATATGTGTTTAATTTCATTAAAACTTTTCCTTTAGTTTATGGTTTTATAAAATATATTTTTGATACTGTCACTGTTACAAATTAACTGTCAATAATAAATAACATACCAAATACGAGAAGACAATTCTTTCTTCTTATTTACTTATACCAAATCCTACAACTCTAATAACCCAAGCAGACGAGCATTATCAAGCTACGTTTTCAATATGTATCAGTATAAGTATTCTATCCGTTACCCTAGTATCCCATAACACAAGCCTACAGTGCTTACTCTGGGCCCTCTGGGGCTAGGCTAATTGGTGTGAGTGTTGGAAATATTTATTTATTTATTTTATTTTATTTAGACTATACGTACATCAATGGAGCTGAGGGCACGAAGGGCAATAGTTAATTAACGTCTTAGATTTAAAGAGTATTAATTACAAAAATGTTAAGTTACTTAGTATGAGTGCCTATATAACTACTTAAGTGATACGAAAGTCCAAATATTACTTATTTGGGATCATCACGGGATTTTATGTTCCTGTGCATATATTTTTAGTTTTTAAGCATTTAACAGCTAGATGTTGAAATCTAAAGAAAATTTTAATAGAAAAAAAGCCATGCGGCCAAGCAGACGGGATTCGAACCCGCACCCTCCGCTAGCTCGGACGGATGCATAGACCAATTATGCTACCACGGCCTTAATAGCCGTGTCGAATTTCTTCTAGTATTTCTTAGGTTGCATGGCTGTCTCTTTGCATTGTATATTGGTAACCCACAATGTCAAACGAATACCTTTACCTTTTAAACATTTGAAATATTCCTGTAATTTTTAAAGTCCAAATTAAGTATACAACTTCTATAAGTACATTAACTTCCAGAAAGTGAGTTTCCACTTCCAATTCTAAACCTAACTTTAAACCACAGATTATGTAGTCGCAATCAACACACGCCCACGCCTGACCGCCCAGCATGATTGCAAACGCTGATAATGTGTTTGGCTGTTGGTACCGAGTTAGGCGTTTATTAATATTTAATTTTCTAGAAGTAGCAATGACCCTTAGCACGAACCAATATCGAATTCGAATAGTTTGCGAGTCCGAAATATCATTGTCAAATGAGGACTGAATTAAGTTCTCGTAACGTACGTTATGGCTTTAATGTTTAAGTTTTAATACAAAATTTGACAATGACATTTCTTACTGGCAAATGATACGGATTCGATATTGGTTCGTTCTAAGGGTACAGTACCCCTAGCACGAATCAATATCGAATTCGAATAGTTTGCGAGTCCGGAATGTCATTGTCAAATAACCGATTTTTAGTTCCCGTACTTTGTGGCGCCTTTGAATTTTTATGACCTTACAGAAAATTGCAGAGAAATAACATTTACGTTTCGTTGTGTTGTGATGTGCTGCTCTCAATGAGGGCTGCAGGGTTCCACGGTTCGAGGAATTGGGTTATTGGGTTCAGACAAGAGAATTGACAAAGGGAAACTAGAAAAAATTCAATATTTGAAAGGCATATTACTACCCAATACCTTGGCTGAGTTACACGAAAGAAAAATAAGATTTGTACTTTCCGATTGTATGCTCAAATTACAGAAATAAAGGCAGATGGAACGCACGTGTCACCAAAGCAAATACGAAGTCAAAAGCGAATATCAATTCACATCAGTACGCTTCAACGCGTCGTATTCTGAATACGTCCCGTGAATATTAAGTTTTTACCAAAAAGAATGCTGCCTTTCTTCTTTGTCCAAACATTGCAAAAACTGTTTATATCAGACTTGCAACGAATATTCGGTTACTATTCGGCTACTTTTATTACATTCGGCCGAATACCAAATACCTACATATTATTCGGCCGAATACCGAATACTTAAATAATATATTTTGACATAGAGAAATAATTGGTAAAATGAAAAATTAAAATCAATTGATTACGTATATATTCATATTTTCATTTCTGTTATATATAATCACTAGCTGACCCAGCGAACTTCGTACCGCCCTAAAAAAATAGGGGTTGTCCAGCGGACAAAATTGTGAATCTAAACCATTCTCAGATCCCCTTGAACACACACAAAAAATTTCATCAAAATCGGTCCAGTCGTTTAAGAGAAGTTCAGTGACATACACACTCACAGAAGAATTATATATATAAAGATTTAAGTAGTCATTGGTACATAACACAGGTAGATAGATAATCATCTTCTCAATTAGAAAAATGGAGGATTCTATGTATTTGAATTATTGTGGTAATCAAAATTTAAAAGGGTAAGATTCTCATTTCTTTTATAATCATTTATTAAGCAGTCATTGGTACATAAAACAGGTATATAATTTAATCATTTTCTGTATTAAACAAGTTAAGAATTTTTCTGTGCGTTTGAATTATTTTCATATTTAAAATTTAGAAGTGGAAGGTTATGGTGCAGAAAGACTAACTTTTCTGCATTTTTAGGAAGTAGTTTACTTCTTTTTTTCTCGTAGACCATCTCAGCTTCAGAGAATAGGTGCTTTGAATAAACACTACATCATGGCGCCGACAAATATTTTGCTGCAGTCTTAATCAAACACGGAAATGCAAATTTCCTTACTGCCACCGTGTATACGGGTTGTCATGACGTGATATATTACTAATATTTAAGAAAAATTAGTAATATATCACGTGAAGATCCATTTTTATTGAAACTGCATTTGACTGAATTGCACTGCAAACAAAGGAGCGCGAAACAATCACGTATGTACAAGTTTTGGCGCTAAAATCCAGCCGAATACTTTTGCATAATATTCGGCTATTCGGTCAGGGGCCTCGCCGAATATTCGGTATACTACCGAATATACTATTCGTTGCAAGTCTAGTTTATATGTGTAAAGACAAAAAAAAAAGAAAACAAAATATAATATCATTTTATTGACGTCGGAAAGCCTGATTAAATACAGGTACAATTATAATGTAACCTAATTCAGGCAAACTTGATTATTGCACATTGCAAATATATTAGTATAGATTTTTATTTGATTGTAATGTGATCTATTTTTCTTGAATAAATTATTACTATTATTTTCCAAAACTCACCCCCTAAAGGGGTAAAACGGGTGTTCAATGGTTCTATGGGAAACCAATATTTTCACGCACACAAAGCCGCAGACATCCTAGTTCTACGTATACCAAATTCATTAGCGCTCCTTTTAATCATCAGCGCATAATTTGCCAATTGTTTTGCAGTTAAAAAATCATAATAAATCTCTTAAAATTTAATCCCCGCAGATGATGCCTCGGACGGAAACCTTATATTCTTACAATACAGTTTTGAGTGGAAAGAAACGCACCCGAAACACATATGAAATTATTCCGCTAAGTAATACGGAAACTGTTCCTCAAATGGACCGAATATCAATGGCAATGAGAATCCAACCGGCCTGAGTTTCCGGCACACCTTGAACCACAACCGGGGTCACGTTTGAAGTCATGCATGATGATAATTTAATTTCCTCTGATATTTCTCAACTTTCTTGCTTCCTCGACATGTCATATCATCGAGTCTTGTAAAAATATATTGTCAGTCGTTTTTGTTGTATATCATCTTCATGAAGTGAGGTGTAGCTTGTCACGGAATAAGTGGCGTATTTTAAAATCTGATGCCATTATGATTTTCTATGCTTGGCCATTTATGATTCCCCTCCCCCCCCCACCCTTAGAATTAGTCAATCAAATCAAAATATAGGTCAGTAAATAATGCCTTTATATGACCTGATCATTGCAGCTCTTGCTCTTGCCGCCCTGGGCCATGGCCCTTTTGGCCCTAGGCAAATTTTTCTGCTGTATTATTAGATTTCAGGCGAATATAATAAATGAACTTAATCTTATTAACGCATGATTTGGTGCCTGAAGTCTTGAAGTCTATCTGTTGGAATCTTCTATCAAACGACAGACGATTCCCCATTTCAAATATTAAAATCATGACATTAACTTTTTAATATGACTGCCAGCCGTAGGCATTACATTGTAACGTAACGGACGTTACAGTACCTATGTTTTTGTAAGGATATACATAAACAGCCAAGACTCGGATAAAATGGTCAAATTCCTCATAAAAACACTTGCCCCACTAGGATTCGAACCCG